GGGAGGGGTGCGCAGAAGAAAAGGGCGGGGCCGGGGTGGGCGGGGCTATGGAATTAGGCCCTCCGGAGCAATGGCCCGGGCCGTCCACCAGGGGGCGCCCACCGCTCCCGGGGCACATACCTGGCATGCTGCCCTCCGCCTTGCCGCACTGCACCCACTTGCCGCTCTGGTACCGCCAGTGATGCTGGTCCACCAGGACCACGTCCACAAACATCCGGTAGTGGCTAGTGGGCTCCAATCCGGCCACGGTGAAGGACAGGAACGGGAACATCCTCCTGTGAGGAGAGAGATCCCCCTCCTGTGTCAACTGCTCTGGGTCGGTGACAGTCACCAGCTGCACATGGCCTGGCTCTGCCTGTTCCCCAGAGCCTACTGCAAATGCCCACGAAGTCAGCTGGCCAGGTGCTAAATACAGCCACGAGGGACAATCAAAGTGTTTACAGTTTAGCCCAGGTTGGCCTTGGACTCTCATTGATCCTCCTGCCTCGGCCTCCTGGGTGCTGGGATTACAGGTGTGCACCACCGTGCCTGGCTTAAGGTCCCCCCCCCCCGCTTCTTCTTTTTTGGTACTAAATGCTCACCTCTTAGAGGGTAACCAGTCCCTAACCACAGTGTGCTTCCCAGACGGGCAAAGGCACAGCCAGCACTGCAGGGCGGCGCCTCAGTCCCCGCCCCTCCTCCGCGTGTGATGTCCCGCGCCAGGCCGCGGTCCCACACTCAGCCCTCACAGCCAGGGCCGGGCCTCCCTCCAGGCCTTGGCTCCCAGGAACAGGAGAGTCAGGGTGCAGGGCTGCAGAGCGCCCGCCGTGACGTGAGTGACGTGACAGGAGTTCCTCAGCGCGGAGCCCTCTCCCAGCCCGATGATCTGGATGGTCTCCAGGCTTCTACCATCGCTGCCCCATTATCTCCATCACGGCAGCCACCGCCTCCTCTATCGCAACCGCCATCAGCCTGCGCCACCTCCACCATCAGTGCAACCTCCGCCCCGTGGCTGCCGGGGCTACCAGGACCCCACCTGGATGGCCAACCCCAACCATGGCTGCGACCCTCAGCGCTCACCTGCACACCGGCCCCCACCCCCACCCATCGCGCCCGCGTGGCAGCCACCAGCCCTCCAGCGCCAGGCCCGCGCTGAAGCCACGCAGGAAGGGCAGGGCCATCAGAACGGCAGAGAGGAACCCAGGGAGAAGTGCCTTCATCCCCACCCTCAGCCCCTCTCCTTCCCCTCCCTGCCCTGCCCTGGTCTCTGAGTCAGGAACTCTGGGGTCAAGGGAAGAGTTCCGGGGTCTCCATACACTTTTTGGTGGGTGCAGTCCCCAGTGGGTCCCCAAACCACTCCCCTAACAACCTTGGGAAGGCCTCCCAGCCGGGTGCCCTCATATTCCTGTTTCCCCTGGAATCGTGGACCTAATCGCTTCTCAGCATTTTGGCTAAGATCAAGTGCAGAGTCCTGGGCCCAGAAAAAGATGTGTTGGCACCATGACCTTGGATAAGTTTACTCCCGAACCAAGTCTCGATTTCTTCACAGTAAATGCAGATAACTCTGGCCCATCTTTCCTCTGCAAATTGTTTAGAAGCCATAATCCTGGCACTTGGGAGGCTGAGGCAGGAGGATCCCAAGTTAAACCCAGCTTGGGCAACTGAGTGACTCAACAACACTATGTCTCAAAATTAAAATTTTTTAGCTGGGTCTGTCATCCCAGCACTTGGGAGGCCGAGGCAGGGAGACTGATGTGAGTTCAAGGCCAGCCTGGTCTACAACACAGCAGAAGTCTATATCAAAAACATATTTTTAATGTTTTTTATTTTTTAATACTTAATTTATTTTTTAGTTTTTTGGTACCAGGGATCAAACTCAGGACCTTGAGTTTGCAAGGCAGGCAGTGAAACAACTGAGCTAAATCCCCAGCCCCTTTTAAATGTTTTTTAAAGGGCTGAGGATGTAGCTCAGTGTGAAAGTCCTGGGTTCAATCTCCAGTACTGAAAAAAAAAAAAAAAAAAAGTGAAACTCAACTCATCTACTTTTTCCCAGGGGCAGAAGCTACCAAAGCCCCTCAGCTTGACTAGAGGACACTGAACAAGGGACCGAGCTCTGTGTCCGGGCCCTGTATCCCAGGGCCTTGGCAGGCCGATCAGCTGATCCTAGTGAAGATTAGGCCTAGAACAAGTGAGCGGTAAGGATATTTCCACCCTGGTTCAAACCTGTAATCCCAGCACTAGGGAGGCTGAGGCAGGAGGATCGCTGAGAGTTCCAGGACAGCTTTGGCTACATAGGGAGACGGTCTCCAAGAAAAACCGAAAAACATTTCCAACCAGTTTCTCGTACCATCTCAACCTCTGAAGGTGGTAAAGCCCCTCAGATGTTTCTATTTTGTAACCAGTTCTGGTCCAAACTTGTAGGAGTAAAGGAACGGAGGAGAAGACTCTTTTTTTTTTTTATGCTAGGGCTGGACCCCAAGGCCTCCTGCGTGCTAGGCAAATGCTCTACCTCTGAGCTGCACACCCAGCCCTGAAGTGCATGCCCCGAGCCTCTACTTGTGCCCCAGCCAGTTTCTCAGGCCAGGCCTTCGAGATATAAACCATGGTTTCCTATTTTATATTTGAAGAAACTGAGTCTCGGAGAGGTTTGGGGAGCAGAACCGGGCGTCTGCGTTTATCTCATTAGCGTGAAACAGAGGAGACCCAGGAAGATGACGGGGTTCTCCAGTTCACCTTAAAAGTCGCCACCCTAGAATCATCACCAACTGGAGTCCCAAAATAGCCCCTGATTTACATAATTTGGGGGGAAGGGACCCGGACGGAGATGGGGAGATGAGCCCCCCAAACTGCTTACCATCCCTTCACGGGGCATGTGGACTGAGACCCCAAATTCCTCTGATCCCCAAAAGAGTGACCCACCTTCAGATGGTTCACAGGGTCCCCATAACTACTCCCAGCACCCCAGCTCCTGGGCAGGCCCAGTCACTGTTTTTTAAGCGCAAATGAAAACAACAAGGAGATCCAGTGTTGTCGGCCACGTTAACCACATGCTTCGAGACTGAAAATATTAATACTGACAAGGGACTGCGAACGTGGGCCTCTGGAAACCACTGGTGGGATATAAACTAGTACCTTTTCTTTGTGGTACTGGGGGTTGAATCCAGGCTCTTTGCCTTAAGCTACATCCCCAGCCCTTTCGATTATTATTATTATTTTTTGTACTGGGGATCAAACTCAGGACCTTGTGCTTGCAAGGCAGGCAGAGCGCCCCTGAGCTAAATAGTTGGTACTAATTTTTTAAAATTTTGAGCCAGGGTCTAAGTCACTAAGTTGCCTTGGTTGGGCTCCAATTTACAATCCTCCTGCCTCAGCCTCCCAGAGTGCTAAGATCACAGGTATGCACCATACCCAGCGTGGTACTACCTTTTATTTTAAAGTGCCCGGACTGGGCAACTTAGCAAGACCATGGCCCCCAAAATAATAAAATAAAATAAAAAGATCTGGGGATGTAGCCCAGCGTGAAGGCCCTGGGTTCGGTCCACAGGACAACAACACGGCAGCAGTGAGAAGCACGCATCCTGCTGATGCTCTGCACCAGCAAAACGCAAAATGCCAAAATGGTCTCTTGGTCTCCGAGCATCTCCCCCTACTACCAACTTCAGAGCCACGTAATAGAAGTCAAAGGGCCATTTGCAAACCAGACCCCAAAACATCAAAGTTGAGTCGGGCCCGGCGGCAGGCTGCTGCAGTCCCAGACACCAAGGAGGCCGAGGCAGGAGAACCACGTGAGGCCAGGATTTCGATGCCAGCCTGGGCAGCAGAAAGAGATCCCAGCTCTTAAAAGAAGGAAAGCAACTTTAAGCCTAAAATAAATGTTTAAAGGCATGAAAAGTTCCCAGGATTGGGAATGTGGTAAGGGGAAAATAGAGTAATAACGGTGGCGGGGCTAGCGAGGACAGCCGTGTGCCCAACTCCTACCTTCACGTACACAAATCCAAAAGCAAACTGAGCTGCTCAACAACAGAGCTCCCCAAAGTTACTGTAATTATTATAATCAGCCGATCACACCCAGCAAAGTGGAGATTACCAGCAATTAATCCACACCCACACGCTCACAGACCCGGCAGCTCTTCCTCCTCTGAGAACGGCTGCCCCGGGCAGCTGCCGGGTGCCCGCCTCACACTTGCCACTTGTGCTTCACACAGAACACCACCAACACGCACTCTTGGGCCCCCCAGGGTCCCCGCTGCCATTCTGCCCTCAGCTCCCGCTCCCACTTGACTCGAGCTTCCTGGACCCCTCCTTCTCTGCCCCCAAATCCTCCCCTCTCCCCACCCACTCCCACCCAGGGTCAAAGCCTGCCGCTGGCCCATGCCCACAGCGGTAGGAGTGGAAGGATCTGGGCCGCGGTGAGTCAGCCTCAGGCCATGGGCTGCAGGGCTGTGGGTGGGCCTGGCGTGGAGGGAGTTTTCAAAGAGGAAAGAGGTCGTGGGTGATGTGGTGGTGACTGACAGGTCACTGGAACCCACGGAGACGTGGCCAGCGTGCCAAAACGGAGGACGGAATGGAAGACTCGGGCAAGGGGAAATAGGCATGGACTTCCCAGACCACGGGAGCCCGGGCTGAGAGAGCACGCCGGCTGGGGGATGGCACGGCCTCCGTCTTTCCCCTGCCCCAGCACCAGCCCTGGAGGCCTGCTCTAGGGAGGAAATAGTAAGGAGCCATGAGCCCCATCCGACAGCGAGGCCTAAAATGGACCAACAAAGTGTAAGGGCTGGGCCAGCTGGGGTGGCCACACCTGTAATCCCAACACTCTCTAAGGCTGAGGCAGGAGGATCAAAAGTTCAAACCCCAACTGAGAAACCTAGGGACTTAGTGAGACCCTGTCTCAAAATAAAAGGTAAAAAAGGGCTGGAGATGTAGCTCAGCACAAAGGCCCTGATTCCTATCCCAAGTACCAGAAAAATAAAAAAACAAAGTCAAAGATTATAAAACACACAGACAGGCACAGGTTTATGAAACAAGAAGACTTGGTGATATTTAGGAATTTCTTTTAACATTTGCTAATGGTACTGTAGGGGTTATCTGTTTTAAACTTTTTTTTTTTTTTAGCTTTAATTGAGTTTATTGGTACATTTTAGGGATACAGTACAGTTACATTCATTGTTGGGATCTTGTATTTTTAATCTTTTTGAGACAGGGTCTCCTCTTGTAGTTCAGGCTGGCCCCGAACTCACTATGTAGCCCCAGGCTGGCCTTGAACTCACAGCGATCCTCCTGCCTCAGCCTCCCGAGTGCTGGGATTACAGGCGTGCGCCACCCCAGCACTCCCGGCTGTTTATTTTTGAGATGGGGTCTTGCTG